TGAGGGAAGGTACAGGACCGGATACCCATGAACACTAATGCAGCAAATAGTTGATACCTTCAGGAAGGGAAAAGAAACAAACAGCTTCAGAAAAAACATCCAAATATCCCATCATATCTGCACCAGGTACACAAACAGTATGATGTGTTATTATCAAGAAAAAAATAACATTTAAATCGCTCTTACCAGTTTTTGGCCATAAAGCATTAACTGCAATTTCACCTTTGAATTCCTCAGCCATTCCCAGGACACACATTGACATCCCGTATTTAGCCATGGTGTAGGCTGAGGGAATGAAAGAACACATTAGCTCATTTGCATCATCTTCTGCCCCCATGTACTCGACAGAGAAGGTACGTGATCTGCATATAGCTTCATGAAGAAAATTCCTCCAGCATTACCTCTGCGACTAAAGACTGAGAAAATCACAGAAAAAGGACATACAGCTTGTTGTGTCATTGTCTTCTGCTCATTCCCCATAGCCCTGCATTATTTTCCTCTTCAAATATTTATGCAATTCCCTTTAGCAAGTTGCTCTTAAATCTGCTTCCACCATCCTCTCTGGCAACATGTCCCAGAACATCAAGTGTGGCAAAATAAAATTCTCATCTAACCAGTGTCCATTTCTAACAAATTACTTCAAATCCATCTGTATTGGTTATTGACCCTTCTGCCTCTGGCAACAATTTCCCTATAGTTGCTCTATCAAAACCCTTCATGATTTTCAATGTATTTATCAAATCTCCACTTTAGCAGCTCTGCTCTAAGGAAAATAGCCCAGCTTCTTCAGTCCATAAGAATTACACATATACGGTGCCCATGCTCACCACAGTGGTTCTTGAACCAGACTGGATTCATGTTGAGAGGAGGACTCAGGTTCAGAATGTGGCCATTCTGACTCTTTTTCAAATAAGGAATACACAATTTTGACCTGAGAAAAGATAGAGACAGAAAATGAAGTAACATGCAATGCAAAATTAAACATATCAAACTTTAAATGAAGGACATAAGAACTAGGAGCAGGAGTAGGCCGTCTGGCCCTTCGAGCCTGCTCCGCCATTCAATAAGATCATGGCTGATCTTTTCGTGGACTCAGATCCACCTACCCGCGTTCTCACCATATCCCTTAATTCCTTCATTGTTCAAAAAAAATCTACCTTTTTTTTAAAAACATTTACTGAAGTCGCGTCAACTACTTCACTGGGCAAGGAATTCCATAGATTAACAACCCTCTGGGTGAAGAAATTCCTTCACAATTCAGTCCTAAATCTGCTCCCTCTAATCTTGAGGCTATGCCCTCTTGTCCTAGCTTCACCTGCCAGTGGAAACATCCTCTCTACTTCTATCTTATCTATTCCCTTCATAATTTTATATGTTTCTATAAGATCCCCCCTCAATCTTCTGAATTCCAATGAATATAATCCCAACCTACTCAGTCTCTCCTCATAAGCCAAACCCCTCAACTCCGGAATCAACCTAGTGAACCTCCTTTGCACCCCCTCCAGTGCCAATACATCCTTTCTCAAGAAAGAACATACTGGTCTTTCAAAAGATGTGCAAATACACAAATGCACAGCTTTTAAAACAGACATGATGTAAACATTGTAGCGATTGTAATGAAGTCAGCTAGGTGGACCTCATAGAATACCAGTTCCCTGACTGGCGCTGTTAACCTGGTCCAATCAGGGAGCCGTGACTGACAGATAAGAACAGGGGTGTCAGAGGTTCTGTTTGCTCCGAGAGTTAGCGCTGTGAGAGCTGAATCAGTGTCAAGGCCTCTAAGTATAAATAAAGGGTGACTTGGTGACAGGATACCAGCTGCTGTGGAGCTAATTCACATCCAATTTTACAATAAATTATTTTTACAGTATTAGCCAATCAGCACATACTGTATTCCCTTTAGTTTGCATTTGTGGAGTACCATTCACAATCTCAGAATGCCCAAAGCACTTTACAGCAAATGAATGTTGCTTTTAAAATATTCACACGACTGCATTCTGTAACTCTCTCCCTGTAAGGGCAGTGAAAGCAGACTCACTTGTAGCTTCCAAACAGAAACCTGATAGCTCAACTGGACAGATGGAAAATGGATGATGGGCCAACTGGACTCCATTTGCACCATACCACTCTGCGATACAATGACAAATGGGCCTTTGTTGAAGTATAAATAAAGAAGATGGTTGGCTAAGACCGCCAATTATTCATTCAAAGTTTCAAATCGATGCAAGGCCATATAGTCACATCAAGCCAGTATTTATATTATGCTGAATCTCAAATTTGAGTTATTAAAACAATAATCATTCAACCTTTAGAATTCATTAAAAAAACTAGGTAGGATTCAACAAAGGCTACTCCTGGAGTACTATCATGAGCAAGTTTTCATTTTCATTCAACAGTGAAGGTCTTTAAATTCTGAAAAATGTTCTTCCTACAATAAAAAACATGCTAAAATTACATGGGATATACAAAGAGTCAGTCAGTTCCATTACCAGCACTACAGCTAAAATAGCAACTGCTTTCCATTATTATTCTTTAAGAAATAATCAATTTGCATTCATTTAATTATTTCTTCCTGCTTGCATTTCCTCTTGGCAGTGTCAGCTGTGGGTTGGTTGATAATCATATGTCTCTGAATTACAAGGTCCAGGATTCAAGTCTCACTCCAGGGCTTTGAACTTAAAATCCAGCTGACACTCCAGTGCAGTGCTAAGGAGGCATTGCACTTACAAGAGGTGCTGTCTTTTGGCCCCATCTGCTTGGTCAGGTCAATGTAAAATATCAAATAATGCTACTTCAAATATAATCAGAGGCATTTTACCAGGATCCTGGTCAACATTTATACTTCAATCAGCATCACACAAAAAATAATGTGTCAAGTCGCTCGTACATTGTGGTTTGTGGGATCTTGTGTGCAAATTGGCTGCTATGTTTCCTTCATGACAACAGTGACTACATTTCAACAGGTTTTTCACAGGCTGCAAAGCATTTAGAATTGGCTGCAAAGTGACGGGTGAAAAGTGCAATATAAATTAGGAAAAAAAACAGAAATTGCTGGAAAAGCTCAGGAGGTCTGGCAGAATCTGTGGAAAAAATGCAGAGTTAACGTTTCGGGTCAGAACTCAGAATATAAATTAGAGTCTTTTTTCCTGAAGCTATAAATGTTTAGAGAATCCTCTCTTCTGTTCACCAACAAAAAAAAAACAAAATGTCACACATCAGTGAGGGCTGAAGTGTTTTCAGAATGCTGTGTTCAATAAAAAGTGTTTTTAATGAAGTCATAAGCTCCCTCAGGAATAACATGTGATTAGAGTGAACGCCTTTATTTGTGAGACCAGCAGTTGACTGGCACAGGAGATGTTGATGGTATTACGAGGGTTACTTTCTGTCACGCTTGTAACTGGAAACATTTCAAATTCTTGAAGATCCAATGATGTTACGAATTCAATCCTAAATATTGTTTCCGTAATTATCTTAGACTTCAAAAAGCAGCAGTGAAACTGCCAAAAGTCAATGAGCACTGAATCGAATTGAATTAGCTTTAATGTCACATGTACTCACATGAGTACAGTGAAAAGTTTATCAGTTGCCACTTACGGCACCATCTGAGGTACAAACATACCTAGGTACAGATTCTTGTGTACAAATTCTTTTTTCATAGATTCCCTACAGTGGGGAAACAGGCCCTTCGGCCCAACAAGTCCACACCGACCCTTAGAGCATCCCACCCAGACCCATCCCAACCTACCTAATCTACATATCCCTCAACACTATGGGCAATTTTCCATGGCTAATCCACCTCGCCTGCACATTTTTGGATTGTGGGAGGAAACTGGAGCACCCGGAGGAAACCCACGCAGGCACAGGGAGCATGTGCAAACTCCACACAGACAATTCCCCAAGGGTGGAATCAAACCCGGGTCCCTAGTGCTGTGAGGTAGCAGTGCTAACCACTGAGCCACTGTGCAACAGAAATAAAAAGTCCAGCATTACAGATCATCAAAAGTACAGAATCATAGTAATAAATTAGAAAAGATTAAATTAAGGTGCGCATTTATATAGCACCTTTAACACTCCTATGATGTTCAAAGGTGCTTCACAGACAGAGGAGGACAGTGACTGTGAAAAATAACAGCAACAAAGTGGAAAAGTCAGCTTCAGGAAACGTTACAGTAGCCTTTGATGAGACCTGCACACAGTCTATCTACAGCATCATGCTCAGCTCTGGTGTTTCTGCTCA